GGGGTGAAATCCCGGGATGAAATCCGGGGGGTGAAATCCGGGGGATGAAATCCGGGGGGGGAAATCCCGGGATGAAATCCGGGGGGTGAAATCCGGGGGGTGAAATCCGGGGGGTGAAATCCGAGGGATGAAATCCCGGGATGAAATCCCGGGATGAAATCCGGGGGGTGAAATCCGAGGGATGAAATCCCGGGATGAAATCCGAGGGATGAAATCCCGGGATGAAATCCGGGGGATGCAGTCCGGTCCGGGGGCCCTGCCGGGGGTCTCGGGGGGAGGTTCCCGTTACCTGCCCGTTCTTCATCAGGTCGGCCCACATGCTGGTGCCGTCCCCGCCGCGCATCAGGACGTGGTAGGTGAAGAAATAAATGCCGGGCAGGGGGCACGTGAATTTGCCGCTCGAGGGCTCGTAGTAGTTGCCCACGTTGGTCACGACGTCGTCGAAGCGCAGAACCTCGTAACCTTCGTGAGGTTTCCTCAGGCCGGCGTAAAAAGCGATTTTGGGGCTGTAGAAGGACGGGATGTACCCGCCCGGGCCCGGCCCCGGAGGTCCCGGCGGGCCCGGCCGGCCCGGTTCCCCCGGCGGTCCCCGCGGACCCGGCGGTCCCGGAGGGCCCCGGAGGCCGGCGCGGCCCTTGCGGCCCGGCTCGCCCCGGGCCCCGGGAGGGAAGGGCGGAGGGGAGGCCGCGGGCAGCTCGGGGTAGGGCTCGCAGACCATGCGGCAGCTGCCCAGCATCTCGTAGTGAGCGGCGGCCTTGGAGCCGTGCACCAGCAGCGGGATGGCCACGAGCAGCAGCAGCAGCATCGCCACGCCGATGGCCACCGCGGCCACTCGCCGCCTGCGCCTCAGCCGCGACGCGGCCACAGCCAGCAGGTCCTGCTCGCCCTTGGGAGCGATGGTGGCGAGCGGCGGGGACAGAGCCCGCGGGGCACCGAGCACAGGAGGGGACGGGGAGGGGGACTGGGATGGGGGACTGGGATAGGGGACAGGGATTGGGACTGGGATTGGACTGGGATTGGACTGGGGACAGAGACTGGGGACAGGGATTGGGGACGGGGACAGGGATGTGGCTGCTGGGGGCGTTGGGAGAGGGGGGAATGGCAGTGGGGATGGGATGGGGATTGGGATGGGGATTGGGATGGGGATTGGGATGGGGACAGGGATGGGGACAGGGATGGGGACAGGGATGGGGACAGCGGCTGCAGCTGCGGGTGGAGCCGGGGCTGAAGCCCAAAGAGAGGATGGGGCCGAGGATGGGACTGGGAGCAGGGATGAGCCCGGGAATGGGGCCGGGAATGGAACCGGGAATGGGGCCGGGAATGGAACCGGGAATGGAACCGGGAATGGAACCGGGAATGGAACCGGGAATGGGGATGGGGCCGGAGGAGAAGCTGCGGGTGGAGCCGGGGATGGGACCCACGGCAGAGACGGGGCCGGGAATGGGATCGGGATGAGCCGGGAATGGGATCGGGATGAGCCGGGAATGGGATCGGGATGAGCCCGGGAATGGGATCGGGAGCCGGGAATGGGATCGGGATGAGCCCGGGAATGGGATCGGGAGC